CTCCGCTGTCTGATATTATTTAAAATATTTTTTTCTTGACATTGATATTATTAGAAACATTTTTTTTTTCCTGATAGGTCTCTGATACTATTTAAAATATTTTTTTCTTGACATTGATATTACCAGAATATTTTTTCCTGACAGGTCTCCGCTGTCTGATATTACTTAAAACAGTTTTTTCTTGACATTGATATTACTAGAAACATTTTTTTTCCTGAGGGGTCTGATCTCTGATATAACTTGAAATTATTTTTGTGATATATCTTCGCTTTTTGATATACTACGAGAAATATTTTTTTCCCTGACAGGCTTCTGGTCTGTGATATTATTTAATTTTTTTTTTCTCAACTTTGATTTTACTAGAAACAATTTTTCCCTGATTTGTCCCGGTTTGATATTATTTAAAACGAGCCGACCCGCAGCGTATCATACGCCGCTATTTAGTTGTTTTATTTTCTACTTTTCAGTAATTCATAATTTGTGAATTCGACAGTACCAAGACTGAAAATATTTGCTTTAAAACACTAACCCCCCCCTTTCCCATACCCCCCCCCCCCCCCGTGAAAGCAGCCTCCTCTTAGTTACCTCCCCTAAGTTTAAAATAGTTTCAAACTAAATTATCTGTCCCTAATAGCTGTCACTAAACCCGCTCTATGATTGTAAACATTTAGCGTGAACCACAGCTCACCAGACCATCTAGGGGTGGGGTGGTAGGGAGCGCGCTTACAGCTTGTTTTCTAGCGTCTCCCAGAAGAGAATTATATATATAGATATTTTATATTTTTCTCAACTTTGATTTTACTAGAAACAAATTTTCCCTGATTGGTCCCCGTTGTTTGATATTATTTAAAATATTTTTTTTCCTGATAGGTCTCCGTGTCTGATTTTACTAAATTTTTTTCTGATAGACTAGGACTCTTTGATATTACTTAAAATAATGTTTCCTGACACTAACCAAATTTGGTCAGGTGCTGTGTTAACTGTTTGTTTAAATATCGTGACAAATTATCCCATTGGTCCAAGTGAATTCAACACATTTACATTTTGTTCCATTTATTCCATGACCCTTTTGTAAGCCTGTATTGTTCCCATGCTAGTCAGATTAAAGTATCATTTGTGTTTGATGGGTGATATTGTAGACTGGGAATTTATATTACTGAAATACGCATTGCTTTTAAATGTTTAATATTCAAACAAACACTTTATATAAAACATGAATAAAATGTAGCTTGTCAGATGCAATAAACTGACATCTGTCAAATTGTATAAGTAACTTGATATAGTCGACACGCGGCATCGTCCTAGTATGAGATCAAATTCTCAAATAGTGGTTTTTTTTTTGTTTTTTTTTTTTTTTGAAAATACAAATTCACACAGAAACGTGCAAATAAAACCGACACAATGACATTAAAAGAATTGTTAACTCATTTTAAATTGTATTATTTCACGATACGAATTATTTTAATACCGAAGGGTGTTTCATTTTCTATTTTATTTAATTAATGTATTTTAAAATAAAACTGACACGATGACATTTAAAGAAATTTGCGAACTTTTACATAGATCTACATTTTAATATATCTTCAGTGAAAAGTTGCATTCTTACTTTATGTGATGCACTTAAATAATAACGAGATGTCATATTTTGCTGTAGGGACGCGATGATCTCCCCTAAACTTTCTCGAAAATTCTTATATAAAACAACAGGGGATGGGAACTCGGGCTATAGACATAATTTTTAATCCATTTTAAATACTTAAAGTTTTAAAAATAGAATAAAATCGCGAAGACAAAAGAATTGCACACCAAGTGAACGCCAAATAAAAAAGTGCATAATAGTGCGCAATATTATTAGTACTTTATAAATTTACATACGTTTTTTGAGAAATCGGAAATAGCGTAAATTAGTACTTCCGCTCAACGAAAATTACTCAAAATTTAACAGAAGGTAGAGAATTTGATCTTTTACTTACATGTGAAATTTCATTTAACTATCTGAAATAGTACTCAAATTATAGGCTTTTGAAAAATTCAAAGTAGAAAAACATTACATTGTCCAAGGGAGATAACTATAACATATATGGCAGCAATTAACAAAACATATATTTAAAATAAGAATATCGGTTAAAACGTTTAAATTATTTATCAATTTTGCACAAAGTTATAATTCTATTTGTAGTCATAAGTAAAATTTGAAAAATTCATGAACACCTTTTTAAAATAACATATATTTACAAACTAAGACACACATCTTTTTTGTTGAATTATCTAAAATGATGTCAAGTACTCCATATAATTTAGTTTTGTTAAAGGAATTAGAAGAAAAACTGTAAATTTTGGATCCCTTTGAAAAAGGGACAAATTTGAAATTAAACCAGTTTAGTGGTAGTTGACTTTGAGAGTTCTCTTTTCTTTAATTTGTGAACAGAGACATGAAACAATACATACATGTTACGGTCAAAGCATGAAGTGCGGCCAAAGCCTGCATTGGCCGACCAATGTACGCATTGGCCAATGTACGCATTGGCCGGCTCTCTTGGCCAAAGCCCAACAAACTTAGCACTAAGAGCGCATTTCGTACATTGGCCGGCTAATGCGCACACTTGCCGGATCGTACTATCCAAAGTCCGAAACACTTAAACGTGACAGCATATTTTGTACATTGGCCGACCAATGCACGCACTGGCCGGGATATCCTGGCCAATGCCCTATCTAGACTAAGTTGTGATCGCGTTTTCATTATTCTGAGTGCGGTTTCATTGTGAGTTACGTATTGTTTAGCTCTTGTTTGTATAGCATTCTATATGTAATGCGACATGGACCAAAAGGACCGTCTTATCAAAGACAGACAAATCAGATGACGGCCAAAACAAATAATCAAAATCCTAATGGAAAAGAATTTGTGAATCAAGTTATTTTTTAACAAAAGAATTGCACACCAAATAAAAAGTGCATAATAGTGCGCAATATTATTAGTACTTTAAAAATTTACATTAGTTTTTTTGAGAAATCGGAAGTAGCGTAAATTACTACTTCCGGTCAACGGAAATTACTCAAAATGTAACAGAAGGTAGAGAATTGGATCTTTTACTTACATGTGAAATTTCATTTATCTATCTAACTCAAGTTATAGGCTTTTGAAAAATTCAAAGTAGGAAAAGTACCACTTCCGGTTATCGGAAATCGCTCAAAAGTTGATACGGATCTACGATTTTGATAAAATACTTATATATGAAATTTCATCAACCTAGCTGTACTCAAGTTATCGCGTTTACACACAGACAGACAGACAGACAGACACACAGAAATACGGACAAGATTGCAAAATTATGTTTTTCCTTATCAGTGAGGTGTAAAACGTCGAGATTTGTAAAAATCTCGATTTTTTTTTGCACGATTACAAGACTTTCTCTATACTTCGTATATTCAAGAAAGTAAAAATGCTAACTCATACTAAATTGAGTTATTTCTTGATACGAATTGTTTTAACACCACGGCGCGTTTCGTTTTCTATTTAGCTTACGGTATTTGTAAATAAAATTGACACGATGTGATATTGATTATTAAAAAAGTTGCTTTGTCATACATCTATATATATAATTCTCTTCTGGGAGACGCTAGAAAACAAGCTGTAAGCGCGCTCCATACCACCCCACCCCTACATGGTCTGATGAGCTGTGGTTCACGCTAAATGTTTACATTCGTGGAGCTGGATTTAGTGACGGCTATTAGGGGCAGATAGTTTAGTTTGAAACGATTTTAAACATAGGGGGAGGGGGGGGGGGGTAACGAAGTGGAGTTTACTTTAACGGATGGGGGGGGGGAGGAGGGGAGGGGTTATCGTCCTTAACGAGCTACTTATAGTGTTTTAAATATATATTTTCAGTGGCAGCGTTGGTACTGTCGAATTCACAAATTATGAATTACTGAAAAGTTGAAAAAAAACAACAACTAAATAGCGCGTATGATATACCGCGGGTCGGCTCGTAAATTATATCATTTTATGTTTAGAGTTAGTAAAAAAAAGAATACACACGTGTGTTTCGTTATCTTATTTAACATATTTGGCATAACAGTTGTATGCACAGTATACTGTTTTGAAAAGGATCTTCAGCAGTCCAACAAGGGAATTGATCTGGCTAGGTTTTGAATGATGACTCCGGGGATAGCCGCACCGCATTCCTTCACTACTTCACACCATTTAGAAAGTTACAGCCCAGTAACGCTTGCTTAGACCTAAAGCTATTGGAATGTATTGAAACGATCTCAGCATTTCATTCACATTTAATTATAGTTAGTTGTCATTTTTCTTAGTTCAAATAGTTTGTATACATTGCTATTAAATAAATGATAGAGATTGGTTGGAAAGTAAACACACACAATGATGTACCTTAAGTTTGATGTACTAAGAGAGACACATCACAGGTAGAAAATATTGGAATATATGATATATATATATATATATATATATATATATATATATATATATATATATATATATATATATATATATATATATATATATATATCATAGAATCGTGCAAATCGTTTCCGTGTTTTTCAATTGAGTACGCGACATCCCATTTGATTTTAAACTAGAACATTCAAAGTGTTTTAATTACGTGACGAAATTGGAACGTACGCAATGTTGGCTGCACTTAAGGGGGTTATCTCTCGGGGGATTCGGATCGCGGCCAACATTTTCATAAAAAATCATGCGCGTCCCTACTATCAACAATTGAGCATCAATCGTTTCCAACACGACAATCAGTGGCTCGATATCCGCCTCTGATCACCCCTACCCCCCACCTCCCCCACTCTCACTGCGCAGGCTGTAGCGCGGGCGCTGTCCAAGCCTGGATTCCACTTGTGTTTAGGGAGAGAGAGAGAGGGGGGGGAGGGGGGTTGCCCGCAGGACAGTGGTGATGCGATCGATACTAGGTCGTGGTGCTGTTCGGCGCGTGTAGGACACAGCACACGTTCAGAGAAACACGCTGCCGTGGACGTGAACACGACGAGGAAGATGCTGGCGCAGTTGCTTGCATCCTTTGGTGTGCTGGTGGTTTTCGTTCGGATATCGTTCTCCACTGAAGATGTGCCGATAGGTAAAAAAAATCGCTATTTTCGTGCATGCCACTCTGATTGTGATCTCTTGTTCATAAGTATCGAACTCAGTCACAAATTCATTCACAACCTTACTTTTAAAAATTTCATAAGACATTACGACTTTTTTATGTAATCTTACAGAACACACACCATCAATGACTTACCAAACATCTAAATTAATGATTATCATTTCATGAACTGTGTTACACTGGTTGCCACGGTAACGGAAACACAGTTGTTTATTTTAAACACTATGTAGAAAGAAAAAAAAAATGAATGCCAAGACAGTGTATCTTTGACCTTTGTGTGGAATAATGTTAGACTATTGGTTTCTATTAGGGATAATGGTGGGCTAATTTTAATTAGGGATACTATTGGGTCATTAGTTAACATTCAGGATTAGTAAGGATCTAGTTATATAAAGAGATAACACACTCATAAATATGTTTACTCTAGGGACGACTAAGTTTTATGTTTCCAATAGGATTTATATTACGAAAAAATTGTTTTAGATATCGATGTTTTTAACACTATAGCAATTGACGTTGTGACAATGATTAGTTATATATTTCCAATGGGGATAGTGTTAGGATATATTTGGTTATGTTCTTGATGCTCTTAACCTGAAATTGTTCATATTATAGAACATACCATAAGCCGTGTGTATTTATTAGGGGTATTGTTTGGCTATTTGTTTCTTCTTCTCGCTGCCTGTGATGTTTTTTAATCGTTTAGGTGTTGAAGGTGCTAAATATGTGTAGTGTATAGATTGCAATAAGTGCTAGTGCTCAGCTGAAGGTGTTAGAATGTCGGAGTGTGTTTGTGTTAGCACTATGCGTCAGTATATACATACATAGAAAATATATCAGTATGTTTAGAAAACGTCTCCGTGTGTGACTGTCATTCTGTACATAACGTGTCACTGTCAAGGCAATGTGACAGTGGATGTCTGTTTATGTTTGCTTGGCTACTATGTCCGTGTATGGGATACAATGCGACTGCTGATGGGTGTATTGGATATGTCTTGTGCTGATTTTGTTAAGCTGTGTGTGCACTCGGTGTGTCAATCAGTGTGTAGAATTATCTAGGCAGTGTGTAGAACTTTCTTAGCAGTGTGTATAAGCTAGGAGTCAGTGTGTAGACTTGTCTTGGCTGTGTATAGAAGCTTAGAGTCAATGTGCAGAAACTAAAGGTCATTATGTAGAAGATGCGTGTCAGTATGTAGACGATTTTGGAAGTGTGTAGAAACCAAGTGTCAGTGTGTATAAGCTTCGTGTCATTATATGTAATTTTATTGGCAATTTGTGTAAGAGCTACGTGCTAGTGTGTAGAAATGACATAACAGTGTGTAGAAACTACCTGGCATGATATGTCGTTGGGTAGTGACTCTATGTCTGTATGTACAATATATGTTAGTGTGTAGATACAAAGTCAGTATGTACACACTATGTGATACTTTATAAACACTCCCTGTCACTGAGCAGTCAACGTTTTCCACTACAGTATCGTGACATGTACACAACATACATAAAATACTGTGAGTGACACCGTGTTATCGTATCTCTGTTTAAAATATGGCCAGTGTCACCCCCTGCCTTTTATTGTATGCTGTGTACACCTCAGTACACCACGGTTAAAGCAAAAGAAAATGCCCATCAAGATCAGCTGTCAAGTCTGAACGGTCAAGCGTTAAATCGATCTGTACACACAGCTTTGATATGCTTCTATTTTTGTGTGGTCACGTGTTTTTTAAAAGGGCTTCGGTGTGGGTGTGGTAGGGGTGGATAAGTGTAGGAATGTGGGGGTTGAAGTATGGCGTGAGGTTTGTATTGCATACAGAGTGAGGGGGGATATGTCGAGTTGAGTGTAAGGGTATGTGGCATTGTTGTGTGTAGTGGAGTGTGGATGCTATTTTTTAAGTGTACGGAATCAAGTGCAAAGATGTTGGGATGAAGTGTCATGATGGGTGTGATGGGGTGTGGGTGTGTGGTATGTGGTTTATAGTGTAAATCTGGGTGTGTTGTGGAGTGTAGATGTTATTTTTCAAGTGTGCGGTATCAAGTGCAAGGATGGTAGGGTGAAGTTGCACGATGGGTGTGATGGGTGTGGTGGGGTGTGGGTGTGTGGTGTATAGTGTAAACGTGGGTGTGTTGTGGAGTGTAGGGAGTAATTCGCAGAGTGTAGCTGTGGGGGGAGGCATTTTTTTCATAATTGATGGAGTATGGGGGTAATTATAGGTGAAAGTTAGGATGGTAGTGTGGCGTGTACGGTTTGTTGTGTGGTGTATGATTTAGTGGGGTAGGGTAGTGTATGGTGTGTTGTGTGATGTAGTATTCAGTGTGAGGAGGATAAGTGACAGATATGTAGAGTATGTGTGTATGGCTGAAAGTAGGTAGTGTGGGATACGTGTATTGGTTGGTTGTGGGCAGTGTAGGAAACATGACTTTGAGTACTACAGTGTGTAAGATATAATAAATTTGTTGTGCAATATTGTATGCTTACAGATGTTTGCATGTGGAATGTGGATAGTGTAAAGTGAATGAATTTGGCAGCGGGTGTTTTAATAATTGCCAGCTACCTTAGACCCAAAGTAGTGAGGGGTGTTGAATGGAAGATAAAATGGCATTGCATTAAAATAATATGCCGACCATCGTTAAAAGGTGGTGACGGTATTCACTTCCTAGTTACCGTCATTGTTATGATTGGGATTATTTAATTCTAGACGTCCACTAGACCCACCATACTAGTATGTGTTAATATGCCCCTTTTTCACATATTTGAAAATACGGGAGCACTTATTAGGAAACTTAAAGAAAAATTGTTTTAAATTGTTTAGTGTTTAATCTGCTTAGCCTTTAAAATATTTGCTGATTTCTTAAGGATTAAAACACAACTAATAAAATACGGCACCCATTAAAGAACAATCATGGACAAACTTCTTAGGTTTATATATGATCAATTATAAAATTTGCTTATATTTTCACCTTATATTTCAAGCGGCTTAATTTTGTATTTAAATTTAAGAAAGAAGTCATTTGGTACATATATCAATAGATCATAGCAAGTTTGAATACACATACCTTGCTTCTTAAACGATTGTCAAACACAATAAGGATTAATCTACATCTTATAATATTTAGGGACAGCTGTCATCAAGATTAGGTAATTGTAATTGATTTATTTATTTGTGATCTCTCGTTTATTGTCTACCAGTTGACCAGAAGAGTAGCTTGTTTATTGGTCTTATCTACGTACAGTAATAGTCTTTAGCTATTGTAAAGCCCTATACATTATTCAAGTCCCTTGATTGTTTAGTCGTTGCCAATAGCGTGTCGAATTACAAGAAAGTCAAAAGTCATAGGCGTGTTTATCAGCCGCTTCGCTAACATTTTATGTACAAAAGTCATGTAAAATATCCTGACGAAAAATCCTGTAAACATTTTTTTTCCAAAATGTCCTTTTAAAATATCCTATAATATAAAAAACATCCTGTCAAAAAGTAACATGTAAAAGTAGCTTGTACAAATGTTATTTTTATTTTCTATCCCAATTAGAATTGTATCTGAATTGAAGTTGTTATTGTTATGTTTTGTTTTTTGTTATTCAACAAACACGTATTCACCGTGTAAGCGATATTAAAGTATTCACTTTTTATATTTAGTTTTAAAAAAAGTTTTAGGGTCCAGTTTTTTAAAACTGATTTTTCAGACTCTAACGTACGTTGATAGGTACAGGTTAATTTCTTGAGATACTATTCGGACACTAACGGCTGCCATAGCAAAACCACCAAAACCGACCGAAAATAGCCCAATATCGTCGATCATTCTCGACAATCACTGAAGTAAACTGAAACTCCGCAATTTAACCAACAAAGAATAATACCAACAATCTCAGAACAAAACCAACAATCTCAGAACAAAACCAACAATCTCAGAACAAAACCAACAATCTCAGAACAAAACCAACAATCTCAGAACAAAACCAACAATCTCAGAACAAAACCAACAATCTCAGAACAAAACCAACAATCTCAGAACAAAACCAACAATCTCAGAACAAAACCAACATTCTCAGTACAAAACCAACAATCTCAGAACAAAATAACAATTACCGAACACGACGCAAAAACAACGAAACCAGTACAAAACCAACTATCTCGAGGACAGAAAAACTCTAATCAAAAGCGACACCAAACATTCCTCCACCAATATAAACTCGAACCTCTTTATTTCTTCCGTCTGTTTGTATTGAACTTGGTACCATCTTTTTTTTCCCATTTGCTCAGACCATTTAATTTAGTCAACTGGTCGCTCTAACTTAATTAAGACTAACCAATTCAACGAAAGTTTTTTCCCCCACTAAACTTACATTAGACTAGGAAAGTAAACAACTATGGTAGAGTGACGTAGGGAACCGTCTGCCTTTAAACACTCCATCAACAGTCGCTCACCCTACATCAACAGACGCTCAACTTGGGGGCCGAGGAAAGTTGTGGTCGATAGTAGCGAATAACAACGGGAGAGATGACTTCCGCAGTGAGCAAATAGTTCTAGGATCAACACGTTAGATTAGACTTCAAGGGATAAGCTTGGTACTTGAGGCATCAAGGGTAAACTTGGTACATGAGGCATCAAGGGATAAACTTGGTACATGAGGCATCAAGGGATAAACTTGGTACTTGAGGCATCAAGGATAATCTTGGTACATGAGGCATCAAGGGGCGAATATGGGAGATGAGGCATCAAGGATACGCTTGGTACATGAGGCATCAAGGATAAGCTTGGTACATGAGGCATCAAGGGATAAACTTGGTACATGAGGCATCAAGGGATAAACTTGGTACTTGAGGCATCAAGGATAATCTTGATACATGAGGTATCAAGGGGCAAATATGGAAGATGAGGCATCAAGGATAAGCTTGGTACATGAGGCATCAATGAATAAACTTGGTACATGAGGCATCAAGGATAAACTTGGTACGTGAGGCATCAAGGATAAA